ATAAATTCCAACTGAATAGGAGGGGGTAGGGTACCCTCCGTAGACAATGATTCGGGGGGGGTGGAAGGGGTTGAAACCATCTGAACCCAGTGCTGGAAACGCCATTGTTTTGTTTTTCTTCATGTACCAGTAACTAACTGTAGTTGCACAAATAAATCCATCGTATGAGCAGGATACCCTATAGAGCTCCCTCTTAGTTAGGATGTGCCCATGAAAAGCATTGGTGGATCTAAGGGGTAATATACTAATATAATGTAAAACAATAAACAACTTAAAAATAGCAAAATAGTACAATTCATAATGACACAAAACAAGAGCAAAACATTATAGATTGATAATAAAAACATGTATTTTACTTTTTGTTATTTTTTTAAAATAAAATTCCCCCACAAATTCTGAAAATGTAGACAGAATGGGTTGAAATATTTCATTCACTTCGTCAGTTGTTGTGATGTCACAAATATAAAATGAATACAAGTTTTTTGGGGACTTTCGAAAGCCCTCCTTTAAATATATATATATATATATATATATATATATATATATATATATATATATATATATATATATATATATATATATAAATAATACAAAAAGAAAGAAAGAAAAAAGGGTCGGTTTTCTAGCTGAACATAATGAGCCCATACCTCCACACTCAAACTGAGCTCTTCAATAGAATGGTCAAATTAAATCAAGAGATGGCGCCAGTGCACAACATATTTGGATAATTTGGTTGGGTATTCTATTCTTCATCTTTTGTATATACATATTTGATGGTAGCTCTAAACAGCAATTACTATGTCTCTTGACTGATGAACGTCAGTTTAAAGAAATAAATTCATGAAAAACTTTTCAGGATGAAATTCAAATCATATGGACCGAACAAAATACACTGTCGAGCTTGAGCAAGATTTGTTAAAAAGGTTATTGATTTTGCAATAATGTTACCATATAGCACAAAACAAAACCATTTCAAATGACACAAAGAGTTATGTCAAACTTGGAAATACTTGTGTTTGTTGTTCTTTTCCATTTAACAAAAAGCAGACTGCGCCAAGGCTGCATTAGCTTTCATGATCTTATCCGTCCTCCTTATAATTGCTAGCCCTCTCTCTCTCTCTCTCTCTCTCTTATTATGTTATTTTCTATGCATAAACATTCCAACTTAAAGTAAATTCGTGAATTAATATGCTCACGGTTTTTCTCACTTGTTCTGTCTCTCTCCCCTTCTTCGCTAAAAAAAAAGTTATGTTACTTGTCATCATAACAAAATAATAGAGCATGGATCTAAAACATCATTGGCCTTTGCACAAATGTATCTTTTAAGTAAATTTTTAAACAAATAACTTTAAGCGAACGCAACCAGCTTTGTGCACATAAATAAATTGTTCTAAATATGTATTTGTTATGACAAAAATACCACCTCAGGACTCTTTAATACTTAAAATGACTCGGTAACATTGTTGAAGGTTGATGAAAAAACTGCATAATTTTTGTATGAAATGTTACTTATTATATTCCTTGTACTGTGCTAACCCTCTAACATGCAAAATATTCTGAAACATTTCTCAACACAAAAGATATTTGTGGTTTTCTTTGAAGACGTCACTGTGCGACACCCTTTAACAGTAAATTCTCTCAACCATTTTTTAATTTTCCAAAAAGTTTTTCAATAAAAAAAAAGACAGAAGACAGGCTTTTTACAATCTTTCATAGAGCCAATTCTATTGCTTTCTGACGATCTACATTCTTCTAAAATGTAATTAAATTGTAATAATATAGTTGGGAGAATTAAGGAATCGATCAGATAAGTTTTTCCCAACTTTTTTAATGAAAAATGAATAAATAATGGTCTGTTTTCACTCAAACCGTCAGATTATCTTTAATTGTACATCTACATGTTACATTGAAGTAACTACTTTAGCACCATTTTCTCTCATCTGAACAATGTTACCAAGTCCCTTTAAGGGGGGGGGGGGCAAAAGCTATAAAAAGAAAAGAGACATTATAGAAAAAGACATGACAGAAAAAGAGTGGAATCCTTGAGCTTTTGACTCGGAGCTTATTCTTATTTTGTTTTCACCCACAAAAAAAACAAACACAGTAATTGTAAAATATGTGTACATTAATTACTAGAATTTAGAAAACATCAATGTGAAAACAAAAAGGTTCCTTCTTAAGCTAACCAAGCCTTCATGTATCAATGACAAGAAAATCTGTCAGTGATCAATACAAGGCAAACTTGAGGTTTTTTTTACACCATTCAATGCTTACTATTTCAGCAGTAATATTATATTATACTTCATAATTAGGCATACTTATCAAGCACACTACTTTATCAGCTGGTTCATATTCTGCATATTCCGCAATGTCTAACACCTGGCAATTTCTACCTGGTCTACGCAATACTTTTTGACTTGAAGTAAAAAATGAAAAAGTGGCAAATATTTGAAATGATATCAAATGACCCATTTAGGGAATTTAAGAGACCGCATGTACATGTATATTGAGCTCAATATTGATCACATGGTTACTGTTTTTACATGATTTATTATATTTCTACATGAGTACTTAGGCAGAAAATATAAGTACATAGGAGCAGGGTTTGATGATGCCTTGAACTTCTAGAAGAGCTCTGATAAAGACAATAAAATATTTAAGTATCATTGCGAGAAAATCACATTTTACGTCATCAAATCCTACATGAGCTCCAGTAAACAGTAAAATAAATTTGACACCAGACTACTTTTTAATAAATTTCAATTTCTATTATCAATTTTCGTATGTGACTCATAAAGTATGTGCTAACCATTTTAAGTCCTCATTGCAAATGATCACACATGACACATATAACAAAAGGAAATTTTTCTAGCTCAAGCTCAAGTTTAAGCATGATGACCATGACAAAATATTGTAAAAAGACACTTATGCAAAGTTAGTATAGTGTACCATACTAACTTTGCATGTTTTTTAGTCTAGGGCACACAATGAATTGATGAAGGAATAAATAACCATCTTTCTATTTAAAAACAACAGCAGGATTACAATTATATTCTCACTTCTCAGGTTACGTGGATCAATAAATCCAAATCCATGATGAGTGCAATTCTGCAAGATCAACACTTGTCTATTTAAAGTACATTTCAGTCAATCATCTATTTATTCATATATGAACAAAGTATAATATTTTCCATAAGAGTAATTGCCCACACAATACAATATGTCAGATATAGCAATAAGAGAGTTATATAATGAAAACAATATAGAGAATGATACATTAAACTTCAATTTATAAAAAATACCAAAGCATTTCAAAGCTTTGTGTACAATGTTTTCAATGTGGGCATACAGGCAAAAATTATTTTAAAAAAGAATATTGAGTATTTACATAAGGTCTCTTATCAAGGATGCTAGAAATATAATTCTTATTATGAACTATACAACATTTTGTTAAAAGTAAGAGTAAGTAAAAGTCTATTACTAGCCTTAAACTACTTTGAAACATTGCTCAATTCTTGAATAATTTGATATTGAGTATCATCCAAACCAGAGTACCAGACTGAATAAATAAGAGTTGCATAATTTGCATACATAAGATACTGCAATATGGGAGAGATTTAGTTATATCATTGACATACATGTTGTAAATTAAAAAGAGTAACTGACCAAAGATGGATCACTGAGAAAGCGAAATGTTACCAAATCAGAAAAAGAATTATTTAACAAAGTATATTGATGGTCATTTAAACAGCTTTTACAAATTGGAAAGAAACCTATGTATCCCATAAAATAGTGTAAATTGGACAAAAGTATTGGGCCATCCACTATATTGAATGCTATTGATAAATTCATAAATATTCAACTACACAACTTATTATTTTCTTTGCTGAATGTCCCTCTGTCCTGTAAATCAAATGAAATGAACTTGAAGTACCTGTATACTGCGGGCGACCAGGGTAGCGTCTCACGAAACCGTCATAAGTACAAGTTCACCGACATCCCATTGAAACGCGTGTTAAACTTAATACACGCTGCCCAGAGTTTGATTTGCTTGCATTCATTTAGTTCATCTAGTTAAATACATAGTGGCTTACTAGGTACGTTGTAGCATGGTGGCACCATGATATACCAAATTAAGACAATTTTTTTAAATGAAAGATAACATTCATCAGATTTTCTTCTTAATAAAAATAATAATAATTATGGGCATTTTTATAGCGCCGTCTACCTAGAAACTCTATTCTGAGGCGCATTAATTATTACCTCGGCCTTAGCCTAGCTGCCATTACACGCTCCGGCATTTCAAGGAATTAATTCCTGCCAGGTACCCATTTACCTCACCTGGGTGTTATTCAGTAATAACACAAAATGTGGACTTTTGTCCTGCAGATGAGAATGTGACTCTCTCATGATAATGACTGAGATAACAGGTATACATTAGAAACTGGGTCAGCTTGTCTCATGTTTATGTGGTAAGAACATTAACTAGGTCAAATAAAAAATGAAGTTTCCCCTTTTACAATGCATGCAAAATTCACAATAATACATAAATTAGTAGGTGAATTTCATCAAATTCAATAGCAAAAAATTAATGTCTTACACTCATCACATTTCAGTACATATTATTCCATCGCTAAGGGCAAACTATAGCTAATCTATACCGTCCACAATTTCACAGTTGCAAACTTTCCCTACTATAATTTTAGTATTCAAACTGCTGAAAATTAATAATTTGATGAACAAAAGAGTAAACATATTCCTCTCATACAGTACCATAATACAGAAACTGGAATTATGGTACTGGATATTTAAAACCACTTTAACCTGGACTTCTATACATGTACCTCTTGGCACTTTTCTAAATCAGCTCTCAATTAACATTAGAAAAAGAGGATCAATTAGGCATATATATATATATATATATATATAGAGGTCGCAAGTAGCTATAAGTAGTGCAGTGGGGCTTTAAAACAAATTGGAATGGTTGCAATACATAGCTGTGTTCACTTGGGGCCCGTTTCTTGAAACCGTCATAAGTCTACAGTAACTTCTCGACTAAATGAGCGTTAGTATTACTTCAATACTTGTCTGCTACTTGTCATGAAATGAAATACTCACAAATATATTTACAAGTAATTCTATGGTATAATCTACACAAATTTTGAAGTATATTGCATCTCTTATTCCATGGTAATTCATTTAAATAATTGTAGTTTTCCTAAACTTTCCCTTTTTTAAATCTGGTTGAATTGCGACGAAGGCTGTGTCTTGGCTCCTCTTCTCGTCGATAGTATTGATTTCACGAGATGTCTAGCTACAAAAAATGTAGTAAGCTTTTTGTGAAACAAAATGTAGTAAGCTCTTTGTGAAACAGTTTAGGAACATCACAGACATCTCCGTAGTTGGCGGATAAAGTTACGACTGACTTGTCGTTGGTTTTGAGAAAGGGGAGCCTGGCCTCCTTCACTCCGAAGATCTTGCAGATTAATAAGAGCTCTGCGCTGTCTCAGAATACAAGGCGGTGCATTTTGTGACATCAAGTCCATCCATGGCATAGGAAAGAGCTGCAAAGACCCAAACTAACGAGTATTTCCTCTTACCGTACGTTTCACTTGAGCTTTATTTCAGACACAGTGGTATGAAAATTGACAATTGACTTTATGATGATGAAGACCAGCTCCATTTCAATATCTGTTTTTAAAAAAGAGAAGAAAAAGAAAGTCCGCACTGTATGCGAATGTAGAATTGTAGTGTAGATTGACTTGAATTTGATTTCCAGAAGACTACGTGACTCGATTGTGTACTGTCTGTAGACTCAGCTCAAGTTAGTACTTTATATGATAATTGTTCAGTTTGTACATGTTCTATGTAGTCTAATAAATTGAGTCTACATTATTTATATAAATTCTCATGACACCTGACACGCTCTAATTAAAAGAACATGAATCATCACAAACAACGGCGACATGACCAAACTCGATGATACCGTTGTTTCATTCTCCAGCCTTTTGCAGAGCAACAACTCGAACACAAATATGAGCGCTAAAACAAGCCCACTCCACAGTATCCGCATGATGCCTGAGCGGTACAGATCCTCTACATAGAGTCTGACGAAGACGATTATTGAGAAGTATGCATTCAGTCCGGTTGCAATGAAAAGCGGCAGGAAGACGACCCACCAGGAAGCGTTGATTATCCCCTCACCCTTCAGCGCCAGCACCACGGAGAAGACGAGCAAACTCACTGCGTTGATCCACATCTCAAAAACCGTCATTCCCAGCCATCGTCTCGCTTCTTTGATCGTAAACAACATGGCTGCAGAATCAGCAAGCACCTGCACGTTTCCAGAGTTTCTCATTTACAATTTTTGAGAGAGTTTTGCGAGAAATTAAGCGATTTTCTCTCCGTTCCTCTGAAGCTTTAAAATGGAAAAGAGTATGGCTGATTTGGGTCTGTTCTATGGCAAGCCAAATGTGTAACAATTTTTTTCTCCAGATTTTACCACATGTAGATGCATATGTATACACCAAATAAAAGTCGAAAATAGAGAGAGCTAGCTCATGCTTTGTTTACCAATGTTAATACTGTAAGGGGTACAAAGTTATACTTATTACCCATCTTGAATATCAAGGAAGCAAGTTCAATCATTCAAATAACCGGGCGAGCGACTTGGCGACATAATGAAGTAATAATGGAAGAATTAAATTTGTGTGATATCTGTAAGAGGTAAGAGGACACTTTTTTTTTTTTTGGTCTCGAAATTTGAAAATTTGACATTTTGCTCCATCGGGGGGGGGGGGGAGGTGGGGGTTAGGTCACCTTTTTAGGTCAGCCATGGGAATAATTTTTTTTTTTTTTTTTTTTAAATAAAAAAAATCAAAAGGGGGATTTAGGGGTTATGGGGGGGGGGGGGTTTACACAAAAAAAAATTCCAAAGGGGGGGGGGGGTTTAACCCCCCAAACCCCCCCCCCTGTGTACGCGCCTGGTTGTTACTGTTACTTTGATTTTTAAAGATGCTAAACCACGAGAGGCCGAGGCTTTTAGAAATTAAATTGTATTATTTACGTAACGATGCTGAATTTATTCAACTTATCAAGGACAAAACTGTAGATTTTAAAGGCATTCATTTCCAATATCCAATTTAACCCAACACTTTATGGGATTCCTTAAAATGTACAATCACAGGTTTTTGTATAGAATATTGTGCCCGAAAAAAAGAAAGAAAGATAATGTAGTAAAGACAACCTTATAAAAGAGATGAGTTAATTTCAAATTGAGTTCTGATAATAATAATGATCAACTTCTTTCAGAACGGGAAAAAACAACTAGTAGTTTGAACACAATTTTGGACCATGAAAGTCAGGATTTGATTATACGTTCCCGAATTCGTTGGACAGAAGAAGGAGAAAAAAAATCAAGACATTTTTGTAATTTTGAAAAAAGAATAGGGGAAATGAAAAGTGTTTTTAGAATTAAGAATGATAACGATGATTTTGTTGTAGATAAATCAAAGTTGTTGGAGGTAATACATGGATTTTATCAAAATCTGTATAAATCACAAAATAGAGACAACAATCACGATGACACTATTTTTTGGATCTTATTGATATCCCCCAATTGAATGATGCTGATAAAGAGTTTTTAAAACTCATATTTCCAAACAGGAACTCCTGGAAACGATTACTCAATGAAACACGATAAATCACCAGATTTTGATGACCTACCTATTGTTTTTTTGAATGATATTTCAGATATGTCAATTGATTTTTTAATTTTTCATTACAACATAGACTAATGTCTATTTCCCAGAGGAACGGTATTATTACTCCGATCCCCCGAAAACTTAAAGATAACTAGTATTTTTTTTATAATTCAGACCTATTGGCCCGAATTCACAAAGGAGGTTTGTCGACAAACCTTGGTTTTTCGTACGTCATGACGCGTTTTTTACGCGTTTTTTACAAACCTGGTTTGTAAAGAACAAAAGGAGGTTTGGCGAAACAAAAGGAGGTTTGTCGACAAACCCCCCTTTGTGAATTCGGGCCATTGTCTCTGTCAGTGGCGGATCCAGGGGGGGGCCCGGGGGGCCCGGGCCCCCCCCCCTTGAGAAAAAAATCATGCAAAATCACGCGATTTTTACCTTTTTTGGGGGTTGGGGCCCCCCCCCCCCTGGCGATCAAGGGGGGGGGGGGGTGCAAATTTTCGAGGACCAAAAAAAAAATTGTGCTCACTACCCCCCCCCCCCCCCCCCCCCCCCCCCCCCCCCCCCCACTGAGCGACTTTTCGGCTGGCTGAGTCGTTGCGATTTTTTTTTGGGACTCCAAAAAAAAAAAAAAAAAAAAAAAAATGTCCGCTTACCCCCCCCCCCCCCCAACTGAGCGACTTTTCGGCCGGCGCGATTTTCAAATTTTCGGGAGCAAAAAACAAAAAAAATTGGGCCCCCTCCCCTAAGAAATCCTGGATCCGCGCCTGGTCTCTGTTGACTGTAGATTACAAAATGTCATGGACCTATACAAACCACCGTAAAAAGTGTCTTTCATACTTAATTCACACTGACCAGTCTGGGTTTTTAAAGGGACGGAATATTGGAACTAATATTCGCTTGATTATTTGTTTAATTATTGAATTCGCAGTGACGGAATCAAATGACATTCCTGGTGCTATCTTACTTTTAGATATTCAAAAAGCATTTGACAGTGTCTCTCATGACTTTTTGTTTCATGTGTTAAAAAAGTTCAATGTTGGTATAGTTTATTGACTGTATTCACACTTTTTATTAGGGTAGGAGAAGTTATGTCACTAATAATGGAAATCTCACTAAAGGATTCAATATGGAAAGAGGTATTTTCAAGGGTGTCCTGTATCCCCATATTTATTTCTATGTCATTGAAACGATGACACTTGCCGTTCGTCAAAATACTAATATATATTAAAGGTTTTCCAATAGAAGGTAGTGATCTGAAAATCTCCCTGCTAGTATAATATAATGTTTCGTTGATGGGTCTCCCCCCTCTCATTCTTAATTCATTTTTTGATACCATTGGTAAATTTTCTTTTTGTAATTGGGGTTGTAAACTGAACTATATGGATTGGCTCCAAACGGGGATCTCTATAACAATAATCATCTGAAACAGGTTTAAAATGGAATAAAGAGTCGTTTAACCCTTACTGTACTGGGGGGGGGGGCCTGGGTGCCCCCCTCGACATTTTCGGAGATCGCGCCGCAACCGCTTAGAATTTTGAATTGTCGTTTCATGACTTTTTTCCCTAAAGTCTTGCGCACATTTTGATACCATTTTCGTCAAAATCGGATATACCTGTAAGGTGTTACATAACAATTAGTATGCGCATGTCATCAAAAAAGTGCTGTAATTGCATATATTCATGTACAAGCAGAAATGTGAAGATATGAATTGATATCAAATTGCTTTTATATGTTTCTCAGAGTAACTTGATGTATTCCAGAACAAAAGAATACATAAGAAATAGAACAATAGATATAATAAGAAATAAAAAACAATAAAATACATAAGAAAATAAATATTTGAAAATCGCATCAAATTTGCATAAATTATCATTATTAATTACATCAAATAACTATTTTGTATTAGAAAAGAAGTTTCGTATGAATAATGAGTTTCAACATTCAAAAAGTGGAGTCTGACAATTTTTGTAATGATTCTAGTTCCCTAAATACAGTTCCAGATTTGATAATCATGAATGCGTAATTTGCGTATTCATAATTTATGCAAATTAACCTATGCATTTTCAAATATCATAAAAATAATGAAACCTCATGAATTTGAGATGAAGGAAACATTTATTCAATACATTTTCAAGATTCTTCACAAGTCTACGGACAAATATGTAGAGTTTTCTGTGAAATGCATAAAATTAGCATTTTGCATAATTAATTAGGCTATAACGACAAAAATTTGCATATTAGGAAAAAAATAATTATACCATCTTGTTCCTTACGTAAAGATCTACAAATATGCAAATTTTCGTGTTCATCGGACTTTCGACGGCCGAGATCATAGGGGGGGGGGCCTCCGAGCCCCCCCCCCCCCCCCCCCCCCCCCAGTCAGAGGGTGCTCAAAATAGCCCAGTACAGTAAGGGTTAATACATTGGGAATACACTTTTCTTTTAATACTAACCGTTTATTTGACCTTATAGAATAGACACAACTTAAAGGGATTTGGTAACATTGTTCAGATTAGAGAAAATGGTGCTAAGGTAGTGACTTCAATGTTAAATGCACAAAGATAAATTGAAAGTTTGAGGGAAACGTTCATATGGAATGGGGGCAATATGTTACATAGCTCAGAAAATGTCTTGGATTAAGATGCTATACTAGAAGATAATAAGCTTATAGAAATCCATTGAGCTTGCTGTTTTAGTAAAGTTCAATAAAGGAACTTTTTGTGGAAGGCTCATGCCCCTGACCAAAATTTGAACAAATTATACTCAAGTCATATAGCTGATTCCCTTCAAACATGGTACATTTTAGAGAAAATTTCGTGAAAGCTGAATTCGATATGCCTTTTTCCTCAATTGGATCTTCTCAATGTATTTGGATTAATAAAAATATTAGTTCAAAATCCAAGAATTATTTTTGTATTATGATTGGATTGATAAAGGGATCATCTTTATTAGTGCTTTGCTTAATCCTCCTCACCCTGGTAGTAATTTTGTTGAAGAATTGATATTTGATTATGATATTAATCCTAGGGATAAGAGGAAATACACCTAATTCTTATGAAAATGTTCCTTTTGATTGGTTGGTCTCATCAGATCTGAATCATGATTTAATCTTTGATGCCTTAATCGATAAAATTGTGCAAGCTATAGGAAAGTTCCCAAATATGCTTATAATGTCATTCTAGAGCCATAATTATGTTCCTGAAAAGAGATTAACATTCTATGGAAAGAACTTGCTGACCCTAACTCTGTCAGTTGGGACAAGATTCATATTGATAATTTCAAAATGTTCTATAAGCACTCGCATTCGTTCATTTTATTTCAAACTATTTCATAAAGCCCATGAAATACTTCTTGTTCGAAATTAAACGAAAGAATTCTCCTAGTTGTTCATTTTGCGATAATAAACCCGAAACTTACATCTTTTCATTGAATGTCAGACTGTAAAACCATTAAAACTATTAATCAAAAGATTACAAAAGTAGGGAATATGTGAAAGAATGTTTGGATTTGAAAATGATATGTTTTTGACCTATTTATTTCTTATGCTTATAAATTCTACATTCATTTATGCAAATTTCAAAGTAAAATACCCAATTTTCAGGGTTTCAGAACTTACATTGACTATAATAAATATTTTGAATATCGTATTGTAAAAAAAAGAAAAACAAATTGCCCTTGCACTTTAAAAAATGGGAGTTTGTTTTATAATGTTGTATATAGGTAAATGTG